CTGCTTCTGTTCCTGCGCCTGCTGCTGGTCCTCAGTTTGACTATCATGTTGAGCACAGGCCTCAGGTACAGAAGACAATCCCCAAATTGCTCAGGTTTCCAGGTCCTGCATCAACACCTGGATCCTTCAATGTCAATGGCTTCAAAGCAGACAACACTTTCTTCAATAGCTCCAGGAACCCCTACTCAAGGGAAAGAATATCTTCTGATCGGTTCTGGAGCTATCCGCAGCGAAGCTATTACTCCTGTATTCTATACAATCAAGGTCGCATCTTCCCACATAAGCGTCTTAACATTGAAGCAATAGCTGGTCTGCCCTGTCTGGAAGAAGCTCTGGATTGCTTCAAAGAGATTGGATTGCTGCCGTTTGTCACCGACCAAGAGCACTGGAATGAAGAGTTGCTGCTCCAATTCTATGCCACACTTCACATCCGTGGGTACAACAGAGATCCAAAGACTTGGGTCCTGGAGTGGATGACAGGAAATGTTCATCACGCAGCCAAAGCCTTTGATATCATTGAGCTCACTGGTCTGCCCACTCCTGGCGATCTCTACGAACCTGGCTGTCAGCTTCAAAGTGAAGCTATGGAGAGCATCTTTCAGAAGCCTGAACCAAACATGAGTCAGATGCTCAGTATGATGAAGCCATTGCCCAAGATGCTGCATATCCTAAGGAGTTCCTTGTTGAAGACCTTGAGTATCTGCCAAGGACTATTTATCACATCATAAGGCGAACTCTCTGGCCCATCAAAGGACATTCTCCACATGCCAAGCTGGAAGGTGCAATGAAGACTTTGCTCTTCTATATTCTTCATGGCAAATGCTTCAATGCACAGGAATTCTTCATCCGCCAACTTGCTGCATCAGGCTCTGATCTTTTTGGCTTGAAGTTCTATGCTCCATGGATAATGCGGCTGATTAAACTCCACTCCGCTATCTCATATCAGCCATCTGCTCGCAATCATCGGATTTTTCTGCCTGATGTGGATATGTCTGTTGAAGCCATTTATCCTGAGCCTGCCAATGAACCTCTAAGTCTTCAGAATGCAGAGCATCAAAGTTTTTCTCAACACATTAAAGGAGTTGAAGCAGTCACTCGTGTTTATCCTTTGGCTGGAACTACACGTGCACCACATCCAGCCCTTACTGAAGCCACCGATAGCACTATTGGCCAACGACCCAAGAAGCGATCTCGTGTTCTCAACAACCGAAAGCTTCTTGTGGCTCTTCATCAGAAACAGGATAGGCATCATGACTGGCTGAAGCGCCAAATGCAAAGCCTCTTGGTAGATGTTAACCGCATTCGCAATCTTGCCACCAAGAATGCCTTTGTTGCACATGAAACCTCTCGACGCACCTGGAAAGGGCCGACGCTAATGTGCTCTGAAGATGATCTTCAAGAGGATGGCTTCTCTGAACGCTTCAAGTTTGACTCCACACCTACGACCCTGCTGCTTCACCTACTCTTCATGGGAACGAGTAGATGCTCTGTGTCTTCAAACCTTTTTGGTCCTTACTGACAAAAGGGGGAGAAGCATATGAGTTTAATAGTCTTCAAGCAGGTCCATATGGGCGGTTGCTTTATATTTTGCTTCGTGTTTATAACTCTCGTTTTGATACATTTGGTTCTTTGAGTTGTAACACTTAAACTCGATGGTCGTCTGCTACTTATTTGCCACTTTGTGATGCGATGATAAATTCCGCATGGGAGACGATAAATTCCGCACTTAGATCATTTTGCAGACGTCCATTTTTCATTATGCATGTCATTATCTTCACATACCTTCTCATGCATAATGAATTGTCATCATAAGTTGAAGAGGATCTCCACGAGTACAACCTGCCATGTGCATTTGCATTCCAAAAGCAAATTACTTATATGCACATCCTCAGGGGGAGCCCTTGCAACTTATGAAGACAATTCCTTATCCTTTACAATTTCACATATTATATTCCCCGTTGAAAACTTCAACTAGTTTGTCATCAATCACCAAAAAGGGGGAGATTGCAAGTGCATCTACTGCCACCCCTAGTTGGTTTTGGAGTATTGACGACAAACCTAGTTCAGCGACTAATGTGTTTGTGAGAATTGCAGGATAACACAGGTAGAAGTCCCTCATTGATTCGGTTTTCCTACCAGAGATGACCCCTAAAAATGTATGAAGACATTGATGTCAAAGGTGGTATATGAAGATATTCTCATTGAAGACTATGACAAGAGAAGACATCGCATGAAGCCTATGAAGCTCGAAGACTTAGATCTTTCGTAGTTCTTTTTCTTCATTGTTGAGTCATAGGAACCACCGTACTGTTAAGTGGGGTCCAAGTGAACCAGTCAGAATGACTGAAGTGATGCTTAACCAAAACCTATGTCTTCGAGTGAAGACTATGAGAGCGAATCTTGTCCAGAGTCGGACAAGTCAGCTTTGCTTGTAGCCCAAGTAAAGTTGCCGTGTGTGTTTGAAATCTGACCGTTGGAACACATGTCAGTTCCTTAGTGACCCAGGGTCATTTTGGACAAATCAGGTTGGGTTGCCTAGTGGCTATAAATAGCCCACCCCCTACAACCATAAACGGTTGGCTGCTCAGAGTTAGAGTACGGCTTTTGTCGTTTGAGAGCAACCCACCTCGAAGCCTTTGAGAGAGAATTCCTTTCGAGGATAAAGCCCTAACCACCCAGAGCCAAAGAGTGTTAGGCATCACTTAAGTCTTCTTGTCTGTGTGATCTGAAGACTTATTACACTTGAGGACTGTGAATCCTCCAGCCGGTTAGGCGTCGCGTTCTGAGCATCCAAGAGACATTGTGGATCGCCGGTGAACGAAGTCTGTGAAGGTTTGGGAGTCTACCTTGAAGACTTACCAGAGTGATTGGACGAGGTCTGTGTGACCTTAGCTCAAGGGGAATACGGTGAGGACTGGGTGTCCTGAGCTGCGTGTTCAGGACTGGGTGTCCGGGACTGTGTGTCCTCATATTTAAATACCTAGCCGCCCTAACCAGACGTACAGTTGTCACAGCAACTGGAACTGGTCTAACAAATCATTGTCTTCAACGAGTCACTGGTTTCATCCTTCCCTTTCCTTTACTTACTGTTGTTCCTTGTGAAGTCATTGTATGATTGCACTATCTTTTGTCTTCACTGAGTGAATGCGTGTTCTGTTTGGCTTCATAATATCTTCCTACCTGATCCTTACTATCTAGCTGCTATTAGTCATTGTGCTTTCACTTCATTGAATACTTGACTATGGTTTGCCTAGTGTAGTCTACCTTTCGCTGCATGGTCATAGGTTTATTTCTATCGTTTGTCTTCGAAACTTCCACGTTTTGAAGACTTTCATAAAAATCGCCTATTCACCCCCCTCTAGTCGATATAACGCACTTTCACAGATGATAGACGTTGGTGTCAAACTCAGAGATGTTCTGCTATCATTTCAGTTTTGTCATGTCGGTCTTTATGTGACTTGTACTTTGATCTTTTTCATATGAATGAGAAACGTATTACCATGCGAAAAAGCTACTTTTTCTGTTGTACCCGTTGCTTAAGGGAAAAAAAGGAACTATGATTTGTTGCAATTACAACAAAGGTCTTCTTGCTGTGGCGATGATAATCACAAGATGGAGATGTTTCTGCAACCGGGTTCTAGTGCGATTGCAACAGGGCTCTTGTTACAATGGAGTTGGCGGCCGCAAGCCGAAGGTGTTTCCACAACTGAATCTTGTTGCAACGAGGGAACACAGAGAATAAGAACACACAATACAATTGCATGGTAATCATAGATCGGACGGCTCATGACCCGCACAGTCTTCTGAACTGATTAACCTACCGACTCGTAGCACGCCCAAAAAATAAACGTTCGCCTTTGCTAACTATTAGGCACATGTTTTTTTTTCTAGCATTAATAGATTTTGAAAAGAGGCCGAAGACAGCCCTGCCATGAGGAGAGGCAACGACGGGGTTGCGGCAGGGTGATGTGTGTGTTGGACGCGGTGCAATGCGTTCATGCCACACTTGTGTGCTTTTCTTTTCGGCATGTTTAGTTTGTTAACGTTGGGGTAAATCGGAACACCATAATTTTAAGATTCTCTTCTCTACTGGACGTTCAGAGTATGAATTTCAAGAAAAAAGAAAACGTTCAGTGTATATAGATTTAATAGATAGATATCAAATGCTCTCACCAACCTGCCCTGTTCTAAGCATGACCTGCCCTGCTCATTATAAAAGACGCATTGCACCTGTTCTATTTTTCATGTAGCTCATAATTAAGTATGTAGTGCTAGTAGGCAACCCATGGATAGAGGAAGAGAGCAATGCAAATTGGGATGTGGCGAATGGTGTGAATGGGATGCATGTGGAAACAAATCATCTGCCGGAATCAACATCTGCGTAGAAATTGTGGAGGGCTCCGATGAGGACCAGAAGCAAATCCTACTGTCCTTGATGACTCGCTGATCTTTTTGGTGCTTTTCTGTTCATTTTGGCCATTGATGGCTTGTAATGTTAGTCTTGCGACGTAGCACTCAAACTGGCCATTTTCTTTCTTTAATGCAATGCAATGCAATGAACAGGCGTCATGGCTCCAATTTTCCTACAGCATAGTAGCATTGTAAACAAGATTTACGAACATCTCTATTTTGCTGGGTTTTTCAGGCGGTAAGGTAGCACAGTATTGAGGATGGCAGTAGAACAGGGATAAACCTAGTAGCAAAATAAGACAAAATACATACATACGTAGGAGAAAATGAGGGTGTCCATATTCCACTCTTACTCCTAAAAAACATGTAAGGGTTCTTGGAAATTCACAGTCAAAACTTAGGTTTTGACAATAACAGTAAAGGGGAATAGTGTAAGGTTTCGCCTGTGTAGGCCACCATATTGATCACCAAAATCATTATCTCGGCAACCACATTTGGAGTTAAATGGAAAAAAACTGTGCAATGGCTACAAAGAACAAATGTACCTGCACACTATTCTATCGCAGCAATCAAATTTTAAGTCCTTCGGCCTTCAGGGGCGCCGCCGCGGCGTCGACCCAGACGGTGTTGGCGAACTGCACCTTCGGCCCGCTGTCGCCGTCGCTGCTGTTGGCGAACACGTGCATGGCGACATGCGAGGCGAGCAGCGCGCGGGCGCGGCCGCCGGCGGGGCCAAGGAGGGTGACGATCTCGTCGAGCGTGGCGCCCGCGCCGAGGAGCGCCAGTGCGGCGTGGATGGAGAGCGGGGACACAGCGAGGTTCTTGCCGTTGGCGTCGCACTTGGCCGTGAGGTGCTGGAGCACGCGCATTCCGAAGGAGGTGTCGGATTGGACGGCCTCCGCGAGCTCCATGGCCGGTTTGTCGTCGTCGGTGGCGGCCTGGGGTTTGGGTTTTGTAGCGAGGGTGGCGCGTGTGTTGGACGCTCCTATCCTCGGTTTAGTCCGTTGTACGTACCGTACCTTCGCTGTAGTTTATTTTGGTCCATGTCACGCTAGGCAAGCTACTTTTACTATCGTACCCGCTGCTGAATGGACAGAAGTAGGTGCGGAACTATGATTTGTTGCAATTACAACAAAGGTCTTCTTGCAGTGGTGACAAAAATCAGGAGATGGAGATGTTTTTGCAACCAGGGTTCTATTGCAATTGCAATAAGCCTCTTGTTGCAATGGCGTTGGCGGCCGCAAGCCGGAGATGTTTCCGCAACAAGGGTCCTGTAGGAATTGCGGCTCTTGTTGCAATGAGGGAACAAGAGAATAAGAACACACAGTAGGATCGCATGGTGACCATCATTGATCGGACTACTCATAACCCGGACGGTCTTTTCAAAAGATTAGCCTACCGACTCGTAGCATATGCCCCATAAATAAATGTTTGTGTCTGCTAATCATTAGGAACATGTTTTTTTTCTGCCGTTAGTAGATTTTGAGAAGGAGCCAAAGACCGGTCCACCGTCAAGAGCGACAGCGACGAGGTTGTGGCAGGGTGGCGTGTGTGCTGGACAAGGTGCAGCGCATTCATGCCACGCTCGCGTGCTTTTCTTTTCCGGCATGTTTAGTTCTTAAATGTTGAGATGAATCAAAACACCTTAATGTTAAGATTTTCTTTTCTACTAAAAGTTAAGTGTATGGATCCAATAGATGGATCAAATGCTTTCACCAACCTGCCATGTTCGAAGCGTGACTGTCCCGTTATAAAAGACGCATTGCGCTTGTTCTATTTTTCATGTAGCTCATAAGTATGTTAGTACTACTAGCCAACCCACGGATAGAGAAAGAGAGCAATGCAAATTGTGATGGGCCGAATGGTGTGAATGGGATGCATGTGAAAACAAATCATCTCGCAAAGGGAAGATAAACGTAAAAGCTTTTGAGTGCTCGGATGAGGAACGGAGGCAGATCCTGCTGCCTAATACTCCTTGATCACTGGCTGTTTGAAGATTGGCTGATCTCTTTTGTGCTTTTCTGATTGTTTTGGCCCTTACCGGCTTGTAATGTTGGTCTCTGTCAAGCAGCACCTAGTCTGATCGTGAACATTTTCTTCCTCTGATGAAATGGAATAGGACAACGGATAGCTCCTATTTTCCTAAAGTATAGTAAAATCATATATCATGAAAATCTATTCATATGAACTTGATGTTCATTTGTGAAGTTCAAACTTAGAAATATTCTACTAGCAAAAGTAATAGAACTATGTTCATTTAGGATTAGAGGTAGCGCATTACTAATTGCCCATCACAAATATTTCCAACCCACAGACCAGTTCCGCTCAACCTGCGGTTGAGTTGGTTAGGTGGACAGTGGTATCCCCAATCCAGCAGGGTTTAAATCCTGGTGCTCGCATTATTCTTGGATTTATTTCAGGATTTTCGGCGATGCGCTTTCAGTGGGAGGAGACGTTCCCGTCGACGACGAGGCGCCTACGGTGACTTCGTAAATCTCAAGATGATATGCCGGCTCAGTCTCTCGGAGGTGCTCATAGGGGTAGGGTGTGCGTGTGTGCGTTCATAGGGATGAATGTATGCGCGTGTATATGAGCGCTTGTGTTTGTACTGATGCTAAAAAAAAAGAGATCTCACCAAATCAATTTTTTTTGACTCAGAAGAAAAACAGAAAGATAACAAAAACCTATTCCCGGGGATGTTTTCGCTTCTATGTTTCGCCACTTGGCTGAAAATGACATCATGGTAAACCTATTAAGGGCACGTGTATTTAATTGGGAGGCTGGGGGTAGAAATCGCGTGTGACTGCAGACTCTCGATCACAATTTTCTTAACGTGCGTAGTGATCTTCTTGGTGCGGTTAGCAATTATGGGTGTTTGTGGGCAAGCACTGCCCGTTGACTTGGGGGCCTAAGATTTTGCGTATGTGCGTGGGCTTCCTTTTTCTGTTTGAGATACGCTTTGTTGTCGCCACCGCGTGATTGGTTGCCCGTGTGTGCGTCTTCCCAGGATCCACCTGCAGTTGCGATCGCTGTTATAATCGGTGCCACTTAATTCGTTTAGTCCAGAAAACGCGGCCGCTGCATGGGGCTTCATGCATGGTCGGTTGCATGCATGAATGGCCTGCGGTGTTGACAATAACAGTAAAGGGGAATGGTGTAAGGTTTCGCCTGTGTAGGCCACCGTATTGATCACCAAAATCATCATCTCAGCAAACCGCGTTCGGAGTTAAATGGAAAAAAAATTAACAACCTAAGAGGATAAATAAAATACTGTGCAACAACTACAAATAACAAATGTACCTGCACACTATTCTATCGCAGCAATCAAATTTGAAGTCCTTCGGCCTTGAGGGGCGCCGCCGCGGCGTCGACCCATGTCGGAGTAATGGGCCACGGGTAGGCTAACCCGAGGCCCAAAACCTTTCAAGACATCGGGGCTGATTGCGCCCCTCAAGACGACAGATGAAGAGCCACCTGCAGGAGGGCTGAAGGAACAGTCGGCTGCCCGCATGCAGCCGAGTCCTAGAGGCGAGGTCAAGACCGGCCGACTCCTGCCTGGCGGCTTCCATGGAAGCCGGCCACGGGGAGTCGGCCCACGGCACCAACAAAGCCCATGCCCTCATCAGGGGGGATGGGACAGGGAGTGGCGACAGTGCAGCCCACTCCCTCCCCTTTTCCAGGAGATGGCTAGGCCACAGTGCGCTGTACCAACGGAGATCTCCGTCTGGTGCGGCACAGTTGCCATGCCATTCCTGACATCAGCAACAGTAGGCGGAGTCCTGTGCCCATGACGACCTATCAGTACGGCCCACGGACGACGGGCCCTACCGGTCAGCGAGAGTCCAGAAGACGGCAAGCGCGCCTCCAGTCGGACCCATAGGGAGCCGGCCCCCGGGAGTCGGCCTGCCCCTCCCACGGGTTCCCCACGCCATTAACGAGACGAGACAGGGAGTGGCTACAGTGATCACCCGCCAGACGACGGGGCTGTAACCACTACCCCATGACCAAGCCTGCGTCATTTGGAGCACGACTACAGTAATCAGCAGCCGGCAAGACCCGCAAGAGGTGGGTACGGCCTGTCGGCTCCGTACCAGGCCAGTCGGCGGGGCCCACCAGTCGGCGGGCCCCAGCAGTCGGCGGAAGAGCCGGCAGGCGAAGAGACTGACGGCTGGGCCCTGCGCCCAGTCAGTTTACCATTGTACCCCCGGGGGGTAGGACTATATAAACCCCCAGGGCACCCATGCAAAGGGTTCCGATCCATTAGAACTAGACCAGATCATAGAAGGAGGAGAGAGCTAGCCCTGCCTTCTCCTACTTTCAGCATACAGCTCGAGGAGCGCCCTTGTATTCACTTTGCCTTACTGATCACGCGGAGACCCCGCAGAGCAGGACTAGGGGTGTTATCTCTTAGGAGAGCCCCGAACCTGGGTAAAGTACGCTGGCGTACGTGTCTACGCCTCATCCCGTTTCCAGGCACCGGCGACATTCTACTCGCCCCCACCATGATAAGCCATCCATTGGCATATGTCGCACCCAACCCCCAACATTTGGCGCCCACCATTGGGCCTGGTGCACTATCGTCCGGAGACCTGTTCTGGATGGGAACCCTTTTCCTCCCTGGCGAGCGCAGCCAGCCCGGTACGCCAGACGAAGTCTGCGCCGACGCGCTGCATGGCGCTTATATCGGCTGCGCGGCCAGTTGCCTCGCCGATCTTGTCGGCGAGGTCCGCCTCTCCGACGAGCCCGCATCCGACGCGGGCACAGGCGGCCCCGAGAGCCTCCTCGCGGGCCTCCTCGATCAACTCCACGTCGCCAGCGAGCCAGCTGGGGACTTGGAGTCTGTAGGCTCCACCATCCGATGTTGGTCAACTCCGACACCGCGTCGCTTGACACATTCCCCACCAACGTGGTGGTCTACGATGAGCTGCTCCCTTGCGCGGAGAGCGACGGAAGCACCGTCACGAAAGTGCTTGTCATTGATCATGGTGAGCACTCCGGCGGGGGTGATTATTACCCGCTCAACGCGGCGCTGCAAGACTTGGCAGCGCCCATTCCCGAAGATGCCGACGCCGAAATGCTGGAGGCACGCCGCCTTCAGCTAGTCGAAGGCGCTAGGAAGCTGGCCAGCATGAGATGCCTATCAGAGGCCTACCGGCGTGAGATGGACCACTCTGTGGGCGGCACGCCGGCTCTAGCTGGACCTAGCCGCCTTGGCACGGTCCGGCAGCACGGCGTGGCCATCGCCGACCTGTTCGGGGCAAATCGCCCCGTTTACGCCACGCCTGCGGAGAACATCCGAGCTGCCCAGGCGGCGGCGCACGAGATGGAAAAATTCGAGGGTGAAGAACGTCGCTTGATGACAGAGCGCTAATGTCTACTACACAAACTTCTTCTTGTAGACGTTGTTGGGCCTCCAAGTGCAGAGGTTTGTAGGACAATAGAAAATTTCCCTCAAGTGGATGACCTAAGGTTTATCAATCCGTAGGAGGCGTAGGATGAAGATGGTCTCTCTCAAGCAACCCTGCAACCAAATAACAAAGAGTCTCTTGTGTCCCCAACACACCCAATACAATGGTAAATTGTATAGGTGCACTAGTTCGGCGAACAGATGGTGATACAAGTGCAATATGGATAGTAGATAATAGTATTTGTAATCTGAAATTATCAAAACAGCAAGGTAACTAATGATAAAAGTGAGCGTAAACGCTATTGCAATGTGTGGAAATAAGGCCTAGGGTTCATACTTTCGCTAGTGTAAGTCCTCTCAACAATAATAACATAATTGGATCACATAACTATCCCTCAACATGCAACAAAGAGTCACTCCAAAGTCACTAATAGCGGAGAACGAACGAAGAGATTATGGTAGGGTACGGAACCACCTCAAAGTATTCTTTCCAATCAATCCGTT